AAAAAAAAAAAACGGTAACCTGGTTGCCGAGTTCACGAAGTGAATTGGCTTGTTTTACAACGTCGTTGCCAAGCGACGAAAACCCAATCCCGATGGCAAACACCGAGGGGGGGGCTTGTTTTACAACGTCGTTGCCAAGCGACGAAAACCCAACCCCGATGGCAAACACCGGGAGGGGGGCGGCTTGTTTTACAACGTCGTTGCCACGCGACGAAAACCCAACCCCGATGGCAAACACCGGACGAGGAGGGCGGGGGGTTGGGAAAAACAAAAAGAAAGCCTGGTACATCGGGAACCCCACACATGTGGAGCCTGTGTGGTAAAAGCTGCCGTGTTTTTCAAAGTGTCATGAAACGACGGCACTATTGTACAATAGAGAGAAATTAATAGAAGAAAGACGGGGCGACGGAACTTATTGTCAGCCCACAGGCATCGGCGATATCGCGAGGGAAAAAACAAATCATGCGTGTGCTTGTGAGAAACAAAAGATATGATCGCACGCGTATGGCATCTCCCCGGACCCTGCTTGTCGAGGCAGAAGGCACGGAACACTAACGTTTGACATGGACACAATACCTTGAATTTCGACTCCAGTCCTCGCTCTTTGGCGAACTTGGCGTACGAGATGATCCCGCCCTGCAGCCTAGTCACGTTCGTGAAGCCCATCTCTTGCTCCAGGTACGCCGCAATCTGGTAAATAGGGCAACGCATTTTTCCCCGACCCCCGAAAAACGCAACAACTTTGGGCGCGATACTCCCTGACACGTGCAGCGCTTGGAAGGTGTGAACACTCTACACAAGGACCGCAGCAGCCCGCACATGCGTCACGAAGAAACATTCCATATGTGTCTCAGTGTCTCTGTCTCTCGTTGCGCGTCGCTGTCCATCTCTCTCTCTCGCTCTGCCCCTCGGCCAACTACGGACCAGCGGCGCACGAATACTTGCAGTTTGCATCGCCTCGACTCTCGTCCGAAGCACGTCCCTATTGCCGGATCGAGGGGGGAACACTCGCGGGAAGCCCGCTTCGGCTTTGTCTACAAGAACCCGGTTTTCCAAATAGGATGTCGTGTTGCGCCAATTGAGATAATACATGGATCACGGGTGTGGTATATTGTACGTTTTCGAAGGGGGTATGGTACCTTACGTAAAAAGCGTGAGTGTTATCCTATGCAACCTACGGTAGTGCGGGGCTCCGGAACGTTCTTCTTTTGGGATACCCAACGACGCAACGCAGGACTCCATATTGCGAGTCTCGCTACCAAGGCCGGGGACAAAGTGCAGAGCCCCGTACCGTGTGCGATACATATGGTGATCGTATCACCATACCACGTATGGTACGGGGCTCCGTACTTTGTCCTCGGCCTTAGTAGCGAGACTCGCACTATGGAGTTCTGTGCTGCGCTACGTGGGTACCCCAAAGATGAATCAATCACACCCCGTTCGAAATGCTAAACAGAATACCGCACCCGTGAAAGTCATCGCAAGCCCCGAAAAAAACGCAAGTATATCACACGGTTGAGCCGCATGTTGTCGACGGAGCCCGCCTATGACACACGGTGGGACAAGGTAACAACACGTCACCACAAGCACGCAGGCGAAGCAACATGCGCGCAAAAGCCGTAGAGGTCGACAAACACAGTGGTGGAAGGTGCAGTCAACAACCCTTGTGAAAGCCGAGCGGCTCAGCCTGCTGTAGGTCTAAATGCCACCGGCAAATACACGCTCCATCACGTCATGTCTTCAACCCGCCGAGGGGGAACGCGCCGTCCCTGCTGAGGCGACTCCCTCCGCAGCCGTGCACGACACCACATCACTTCAGAGGCCCGCACCAACAGTTCATATTGCTTCCCCTTTTAACTACCCCGTTCATCACACCCTGTAAGTGGGTTCCTGCTCTGAGCGCATTAGTCACACGTGCGACGGCATCACACCCCCTGTAGGCGGGGCTCAGTGAGTGCACTTCATCACACGGGTGGAAAAAGACATCACACCCACCCCCTGCAGAATACCACACCCGCGTAATAACTCTTGGTACTCAAGAAAACGTAACGATACTAGTACATTATGCAACCTACTCTACGTCCCCGGCCTTGACAACTAACGGCACGGCTCAAAAGCAACGCAAATAAATCACCACTCCCCAAGACACCGGGCCCCATTCGGTGCGAACTGTACTCGCTCACACCGTCCCCCCCACCTTGACGCAGCGGATGCCGCCGGTGCAGTAGGTCATGATGGGCGCATCGCGGTCGGCGTCGCCGACCAGCCGCTCGAGCTCCCCCCAAGACTCACGGAAGAAGCTCGTGTCTAGAGGGAGGGCCTTGTCGAAGGTTCCGACGACGCTCTCGTACCTTTGGGCGGCGAGGGACAAAAGAGGGCGTCGGTGGTGTACTCAGAGTCGTGCATGCCGTAATTGGCCTCGAGGATGTGGGGGAGGGGAATGAATCGGTAAACATCGGTAATGGGAATAACACACGCAACAACGTAGAACCGTCGGACGAGGCAAGTTGGGCACGGCCAACGGTCAAGAAGAAGGAACATCGATCATTGAAGCCTCACAAGACGTTTTGTCCAGACTCCCCGTACCCCCCCTGCCAAATACTCTCACGTGGTAGACTTGTTGCGCTCGGGCTCATTGGCCACTCACCCCTGTACGAACATCCTCCGGGTCATTGATACAACCATCTACCCTCTCTCGCTACGACGATCACCACCTCACCCAACTTCTGCCCTATTTGGCCCCGGGCTATGCCCCCCCAAAAAATCTGCTCCCCTATTTTTGTTTTGCCCTGGGTTGATTTTGTGCGGCGGGGACTTGCGTCGTCGAGCACCCCCCCTTACTACGACTTTTTGCGTGTTGGGGGGCTCAAGACAACACCACAAACAGGGCTCCCGAAAGGTCACTGGCCGGTACCCTGCCATACCTCTCTTCCACCTCCTTCCAAGCCACGAGAGGCACCAACAAGCCAATGCACAGGCCGGACGAGACGACAAGCAATCTGCATTACGAACGTTTGGGGACAACTTCGCCCCTCGAACCCGAGGCAACGTCTACCGGGGCAGGTCAAGACTGCTCAAAGGCAGCGCACCCAAAGCCAACACTACCGCCACGACAAGCTCTCCGGGTTCGTGTCGAGGCTCTTGGGGCGGCCGTTGCACCTCAACCTGCACGTGGCACTCCACCTCCCTTCCCCCACCGGTGCTGATCATATCCCGTCACCCCCCTCCCCTCGAAAAACTCACGAGTTTCTGCAGTCCAGGAGAGTGGCACCTTCCTCCTTGTCCATCATCTCGTGCCACTCTTCGGGCGACAGTTCCTTCCCGATCTTGCCGGACCTGTGGGGGGAAAATATAGTGCAAAAATATTGGATACAGGTAGCGCCCGCACATGAGAACGTCTAATTTTGCCCGAGGCGGGGGTTCTTACAGTGCAGTACAACAGTTCCTCTTGTGGGCTACAGATGGCCATTATATAGGTCTTCGTGTAGAGGTGTTCAACTGAGCTCACAAATGGAACTCAATTTCCTACGTTTGACATACAGTCGAGCCTCGCTTCGAGGCACAAAAATTAACGGAACTCCCTCGGATTAAGACAACTCAGGCATGGTGGCTCGAAGGAGGAGCATCGACCTTAAGGACACTTTCCCGGCATTCAGAACACAGTTTTTGAGCAAAAAAAAAGGTGTCCTGTACCAATTGCCCGATGTTCGACTGATACTAGTGCTCAGCATGAACTTCTTGACTGCGGGCGCTATCTGCAGCACTAAGCGAGCGCTATCTGTAGCACGAGACGATACCAGACGACCATGCTCCTGTGTTTCAAGATTCCGCACTAGGCGGCGGTTCGATTCGAGGTTGCAATCGGGATGCGGCGGGAGTTATCGCGCAATTTTCAAACGAGCTGCCACCGTGCCTGAAAGGCCACCAGCGGAGACAAAGAGAGAGAAAAAAGAGTAGCAACCAAGCACGGTGAACACACGATCTTCCTCCGCTGACGGCTAACCCGCACACTTTTGGTGCCTGCGTCGCCGGCTTCCTCAACTTCACATGAATCACCCGTCGCTGAAAAAACGCACCATTATCAGAGTGTTTCATTATCAGAGTCGGCGACAAGACGACGACGATAACCATGACGACGACGACCCCCACCACCATCGCCACCACAGCGGCAGCACCACCATCACCACCAGTAACAGCTCCAGCAGAAGCTTCCCCAGCCGGCACACAGCAGCAACATCATCCAAGCACGTCCAATCCTCTGATCCTCGGCGAGTCACAGCAGTACAACTCACCCACTCACTCTCCTACTCACCGGTCCGACCACTCCAGAGGGCGAGCCAGCCCATCCGCCACAATCTGCCTCCTTGCCCTCACGTGCAGAGCGGGGAACGGAGGTGATTCTCGGAACTCGTTCCCGCTCCACCGCCGCTCTGCCTTGTTCAGGTACCTTCTCGTCGCAGCATACATATCCCGTTTGACCAATGAACGCGTGGGGGGGAGCATAGTTATGGTTTGCATGCCTTTGCTGTTAGACCATTGACAAGTTAGCTGTTGCAGGGCGGACAAAGAAACGACGGCAAAGCCGAACATAGACAAGGAAAAATGAGGACGATGAGCCGCTGTAACGAAACATTTCATGGTTCTCTCCCATTCCCGCCGAATAAAAAATAAAAATATGCAAGTATCGTTATCTCTTCTGCTGGCCCTCACACCGGTGCTCAACTCAGCACCCCAACAACACTACTCCGAAGGGTACCAAGGAGGCTTCAACGTGGCACCCACTGCACGCATGCGGTGTTCATTGTCCTACACTTCCCTCCGGTGTGAACTTGACAGTCCCAGAACGATGCCCCCCATCCCCCCACTCTCCCCCACGCCAGCCGCGTGGTCCCCTCGCCACCAAGCAGCTAGTTTGATCCCGCAAGACTACGGCTACAGTCCCGAAAGCCCGCAACCAGAGCTTAGCTCCCACAACCCGAAGCACTCTGTACCTGGTAAGTCCCACATGACCACGGCTACAGACCCAAATCAGCAGCCTACCCCCAACCCACAGCCGTGCAGATGAAGAAAACACTCACACGCCGGCCAGCTTCTCAACGGCCTCAACGGCTCTCTCGAACCTCTCCGTGGACGTGCACGGCACCGCCATCTGCGCGTTCACCCCCTCCGTCGCCACGTACACGCGGCCGCGCACGCCCAGCGGGGCCCACGCCAGCTGCTCGCCGGGGCGGCCAGCAGCACCGTGGGGGCGGAACGAACGCGGAACGAGCGCGGATGCACATGGGACGCATTCGGGGCGCACCCGGGACGCAGGGACCACAACGGGCAACAGGCGAAGCAAGTTCCAAGAAAAGACGCACAAGAAAAGCCCACAAAAGAGGCAAGAGCGTGTTGCTTTTTCCGGGGGCACAGGTACCGTCGCCGCGTAGCGACATCGGTGGTGCGCGCATCTCGCTAAAATGAGAAACCCGGACACATATAAACATGCGTGGGCAGCATGTTTCACAACACGAACCGCCTCGAACACCATGGAAGAATTCCGCCTGTTGTGCGGGTCTCATATGGCAAAAGAAGCGCACCAAAAGACGCCCGCGAGTGTAAGGGCCTAGACACTGGTGGTGGAGAAAGACTCGTGGAAGGTGGGTGTCGACAAAACTCTGCAAGCTGGTTGCTCTGCCGGCAGTGTAGCAGCCGCAGCAGCGAATGGAAAGCAACAACGTGATCGCCACGACACGCACCCTTTAGGACACGCAGCCAGCCCCCAGAACTCGTCACAGAGAAAAGACAACAAACTCCTCTTCGTCCACGACTACACTAAGCACCAGAGAAAACAAAGATGGGCACGTCGTACTCGAAAACATGAATATGACAACACGTTGCACAGAAAACAGCGCTCGAACAGCAGAGTGAGCGAAACACCAAACCTGCAGCATGTTGGCGAATGCCTCCGGTTGGTCGATGTCCACGAAACGGTAAAAGCTCAGCATCTCCCACTCCGGCGCCGAGTCCGGGTCGGGGACGTCGACGAGCCACTCCGGTGCCTCCTCTTCTTCGTAGTCTGGGTGCTGTGTCACGGAGGGACGGCGCAGTCACAAACCAAACAGCAACGCAACCAGAAAGCAAGAGAAAGGTCGACGGCAGCAACAACAGAGGGGAAAGAAAGTTGCGAGGAAGGGAACAAGAGGATCGTGAGCACGACGCCCGTGAGTGAATCAGGGGGAGAGACCAGGCTCCTGCTCGTTGCTAAAAGGCGAGTTCCTCAAGCATCGGTGCCTGATCTTAACTACTTTTGAGTGCTACGACATGTGCAGAAGCAACAGCAGCACCAGCAAGCATTTGGTATCGAGGCAGCATTATTGACATCAAGAGCGAGGGCGTATATGGCAACAGCAACACACGCGAGGATAGCAGCAACAGCAACTCCAAGCAAGAAGGCCACAACAGGGAAACGGGGGACACACGCAAAACACCTCACGAAAACAGCGCCCTCTGTTGCTTTCGCCGTTAGTGGTCGAGACAAAAGTGCCGCGACACGAATACACCGGCAAAATGCAAGCTGAGTGACTTTCGAACCGACGCGCTGCCGTCGTCGCACGGAAGCAACAAGTGGCCAGCACAAATACATCTCTGGCACCAATGTGCCCAGGGGGGGTAGTTCAGAGAGGGGATGTTGACCCCACCCACGCATAGGCCCCCGAGCTTTGTTCACGAGCCGAAATCTGTCTCTGTTTGCACGATCCACGCACATAAACGGACTCACTACATCGAGGAACACGTTCAGATCCAAACCCTGCCCTTCCGCCCAAGCTACGGCACCGAGCAAGCCCTCGTCCGACGTAAGCATCGACCGCTGAGCGTCCTCGCCGAGGCTGGTCTTAACCTGAGAGGTTCACGAAAACAACAAGAGCATGCACCAAAGCATCGTATCCAAGCCGCCTCGTCTTCCTGACCAACACGCAGCGGCCTATGATTTCATGAGCGGAGGGACAAAGCTTCAGGGCGGGGGTTTGGCAACACATGTCCCCAGGGTAGAGAGGGTCAAACCCCATGGGCAAGGGGCAGGGGGGCGCTACGTCGGTGTACGCAATCATGAGGGTGGTGTGGGGAGGTCGCGAGAGAGAAATAAAAACATGGCGTGTTGAGGACAGGAGAACCCAGTAGCGTTCGTGAGTTCCTCTGTTAAAGTCTGCGGCAAGGGCACAACACCTGCGTTGTGCTGCTCTTCATCAGCAGCCCCCCGCTTCTGCTTGAAATCCTTCCAACAACAGGGCAATACCCGGCGTGAGAGGCGGACAGAACGATGCCACCGGAGAGCTGCAAGGGAAAGAAAGGAAAACCACCCATCCCCTTGGGCACGAAACACAGCCTCGACGTACAAGATCCCTCGCACACACATAAGTCGGTTTTCGACGGGTCGACTCACGTAGAGGGCGACAGGGAAGTCTCCCAGCGGGAATGTTTCCTTCAGCATCCGGCGGAGGGTTTCCAAAGAACCGCCTGCGGGATCTCTGCGAGACGTGCGGAGGGGGGGGGGTTGAGTCGTGCCGCTAGATCCATCCATATCCGTCCAGCATCGGAACCTCACGTACTTTATCCACTCCCTTGTCTTCCCGGCAGTTAAAAATCTAAATATCACAGCAGTTCGCACTCATACTTATATGAGGTATGAGCTGAGGTCGAACAGAATGAGAGTGCAAGCTACTAGTCTTCGGAAGGGTGGCAAAGTGTTGAGTGGGTACGGGAAAACATCGTGAGATGTTGAACGGGTCGGGTCCATGTGTGCCACGAGGAACCCAGAGCGCCCGTGGCCCGTTTCTTCGGTGCTGTTGCGCACGCTAGGGGACGTTGCCCATACCTCGAGAGAGCCATCGACCGCAACATAGACGGCACGAGAATATTACATAACTTAGACCCGCGGCAAATGAACGCGTGCCGCACCACGCAAGAGCACCCGCAGATCTCACGCAATCGACCAGCCTGTCTGAATTGGGGCATGCAAGCGGTATTCCAGTGATGAACGTCGATCCCTGAGCAAGCTCCAAAACGATAACAACGCACGGAGACCTATTCACCTCGGGAGAAACACACGGCCACGCTTATCCCGGCCGCTCAGGCGTAGCTTCCCCCTCAGCGCCGACGAGGTGATGGCCCGGATCGTCTTGGTGTCATCCCGCTCCACCTGATGGATGCGCTCGAGGTTTCGCCGCACCCTGGCGTTGTCGTTCCTCAACACCTGCCAATTGGTTGGAACGGATCGTGTCCTTACCCGAAGTCTTGCACGATCAGGCAAATCATCGGGCGCCTCTCCTTCGACGTCGCGAGAGCGGCAGTCTACTCTGTACAAGCAGTGGGCCGGGGAGAGCTCCAGTTTGGGCCGGAACTAGCGCCGACGACAACTCAGCAGCGGACCAGCGAATCACCTACCCTTGCACGCCGCACTCTCACGATGTCGCGGCTCAGAACTCGTACGGATGAGGGGAGTCGTGGCGCGCTACAGTCCCAACCCCCTCAGGTCGCAGCTCGATTGGCTCCCGATCGCACGTGAGACAAAACAGAGATCCACAAAGTACAGCGTGGAGTGTACATGTACCTTTCGACATTGCATGTATGCCGCACACCGCACAACCTGGAATGGGAATCTATGCTGGGCCGGCAAAGCACTCGAAAACATGCTCCACGTCGACTTGTGCGGAAGCAAGGACGGTAGACAGGATCAAACAACTTATCAGGCGTCGGTAGGAAACAGCCGCCAGTAGTCATTGCCAACATACGTTGCAGGTGTTCGCTATCAACAACAACCTCCAGTGGTGGACTGTTGCCGCCGCCAGCGCCAAGTCTCGAGAGCTCTGGGCTACGGCAGCTGCGGCGTCTTCTCGTCCCTTTCTCCCAGCTACAACACCACAGCTCGTCCTTGATGGAGTAGGAAGCAGCAGCTGGCCCACGGTATGGCAGTGGCGCCCGCTGCCGTGTCGGGAGCGAAGGACCGGGACCGGGCACGAACGCCGTTGCCTTCAATAACAGCAAGCTGAGGCTCACACTGCTCACAGCAGCGCCGCACGCCATGGACACCATGTGTCCTCTATCTGCCCTTCGCTGACTGCTGCCTACTTACTGGCACCACGGAGTTGTGCTCTTTGTGAACTCGATGGCGTTCAGGTCACCACAGATGCTGAGCACGAACAACAGCCCAACAGGGAGAGCAACGTGCTGTGTCGGCGGTCGGCCGTGTGTGTGGTAGGTTGCGCCGCGCCAACCGATTGACCAATGAAAGCCGTGAGTTTTGTTTGACCGCGGAGCCCCAATATCTCGGGAAAACACATGATGACAGCAGTGCCCCGTGACCTCCGAAGATATGCGAGAGAGGAAAGGAGAGAGTCCAGAGCTGAAGGGCCACACCGCTCCGGGACAAGAAGGCAACTCTATGGGAACCAAGGCAAGAACCGGGGTCAATGTCACGTTAGCCCGAGTGTTCGCAAGAAAATAGCAAAAAAAGAGGGGAAGATGGAGGAAAAGGAGGGGTCGGGCGGCCCGTGGGCTAGCTACAAAAGAGAGCATAGCGCGCCGCGCGAAAGAGGCAGCAGGGTCAACTTCTTAGGGAAGCAACCTGGAATGTGCGGACTTTGGCTGTAAACGGGGCCGATGGATACGGGCGAACCTACAGCGTTCTACATGAGGCAGCGAGACAAGACGTATCGGTGGTAGGAATGCAGGAGGCACGAAGGGCAGGTCGAACGGAATCTGCAGCAACAAGCATGTTTCCGGGTGTTCTGTTGTGTGGCACGGAGACTGGTGGAGTCCATCGTGTGGGGATAGCCGTCAAAGATTCACTGTGCAGACATCCACGTTCACTACGGAGTTTATCGACGAACGCCTTATGGCTATGAGGGTTATGCTGGCAGGCCACCGTGGAGCGGTCAACTTCGTAGCCGCGTATGCTCCAACCGAACCTTCAACCGCCTATAGCAAGCGCGTGTTCTGGGGAAAACTTGACAGTCTCGTTCGTGCGGAGGATCCCAAAGAATATGTGTATGTACTGATAGACGCCAATGCGCGGACGGGAGATAGGTTGGACGGAGGGGACGGAAGGGTAATAGGAATTTACGGGCGCGATGAGCTCAACAACAATGGCATGCTACTGCTGTTGAACTTCGCAAGGAAAACAGGCTAGCTCTCACGAACACGTTCTGCGAGACACGCAAGGGCGGAATATGACACACACACAACGGTGTGTCGGGAATCGGTTGCAAGCGCCTTGACTACATCTTGACAAGGCAGGCACATCACGGCCGAGTATCCAACGTGGTTGTCATCCCCCAGCCGGTTCGCCCAATCAAAGCAGCCCCAGACCACGATATGGTAGTAGCCGCCGTCAACCTCGGTGGCAGGCTTGCCCACAACCGTGCAGTCCGGACTAAACCGAAACAGAAGCAATTCAACCGACGGGAATTGCAGTTCGAAGCAACACGGTGTGCGGTGACCAATCGGTTCCTCCTCAACCTCGACACACGACTGGACGAGCGAACAACCACCGCCGCGGAATTGGCGACCGACCTTACCAATGCTCTCCTCGAAGCAGCACGGACGACCCTAGGGGAGGAACCGCGGAGACCCCGCATGCAGGAGTGGTGTGAAACCCCCGAGACGAGAGCAGCGCTAGAGGAGGCCCTTACCAAACGACGGGAAGCGCGCCGAGCGATGAGGGGCAATTGGGACTCAGCAACGTGGAGAATTCTCAAAGCAGCGTGTAAGGAGTGGCTACAGCAGTCGAAACGGGCACTTATGCCCACCTGGACGGATATGTGACTGAACTCGAAGCAATCTACAAAGAACGCGACATGCGAGGACTGTACCAACACCTGAAGAGATCAGTGCGCCTCAGCGAGAGGCAATCAGTAGGACAGCAGTTCGTCGCCGATGAGAACGGTACTACTATCTCCCGTAGACAAGGTCCCCATCAAGATCATTACCAACCGTCAAAGCCCCTTTTGCGAAGCTAACATCCTCCCAGAGGAACAGTGCGGATTTCGACCCGGGCGATCCACCGGACATGCTGTTCGTCGTGCGCCGCCTCCAGTAGCTGGGACGGAGAAAGAAAGTACCGCTCCACATGTGCTTCGTCGACTTGAAGAAGGCTTATGATTCGGTGGACCGAGAGATGCTATGGAAGGTGCTGGCCGGGGCCGAGATTCCCGCGAAGCTGATCAAAGTCATCCGCCAATTCCACGATGGAATACAGGCCCGGGTGTACATGGACGAAGGAGAACTATCGGGCTGGTTCTTCGTGACACATAGCGTGCGACAAGGATGTGTGCCATCCCCACTGCTGTTCAACATCTTCTTCGCCGAGGTTCTCGAGGTCGTTGTCATCCGATTCAGCAAGGACGATGTTGTTCTACGGAGCCTCGTGCGCTTGGAGGAGGGGAAGACGGAAGCGAGGGGGGGGGAGGAGACACCCCTTGACCGAGTACGTTGGACAATATGGGGGATGCTGCATGCCCATGATGCCGGCGTCGTATCGAGGTCAGCAGAAGGACTGGCGAGAATGATGACCATCATCGTCGAGGTGTTCGGGGAGTTCGGGCTGACGGTATCGGAGAAGAAGACGGAGACGCTCCTGATGCCCGCGAAGGACAAGCCGACTACAACAACACAGCCATCCCCGCCTCCACCGCTGACCACCGAAGCCGCCGGACAGAAAAACGCCCAGACGACCGAGTGGCCTCGTCAACGAACATGGCGACCTCACGCGGGAGATCAACCACAGGAGCAGAGGAGCGTGGGCTTGCCTCAGGCGATGTGGCCGGGGAGCTCTTCGACAGACCGAAAGTGCCATTCCGAGTCAAGATCCGTCTGCTCCAGGCGAAGGCGATTGAGGTGCTGCTGTACGGCTGCATGACATGGTCACCACTCTGCGGCCACTACCAGACGCTGCGGTCGATACACCACCGACTGCTCCTTCGAGTTATCGGGTACAAGCGCAAGAAAGACACCTACCGGCAGCTCTCTTACGCCCAGACGCTGAAGAGGGTCGGATGCCAGAGCGTTGAAGCCACGATCCGACAACGACGCCTACTGTTTGCGAGAGCGTTGGCAAGGCAGCCGGACGGGCGACTCCCGAAACGACTGATGCTCGGCGAACTTGCGGGGGGGGGAGAAGCGACGTAGAGGGGAACAAGAACAGAACTGGCCGAAGTGTGTGCTCGACGACCTGAAGGCATTCGGGGCCGACCACGGATCTACGAAAACCGATCCATGTTGTCTCGGAATCCCGGTACCGCAAGACACGGCACCGAAGTTAAAGTGGGCGGAAACCGCGAAGGTGGAAGGGGGAGTACCCTGGCATGCGGCGGTGCTGCAGGGANTGCGAGAGCGTTGGCAAGGCAGCCGGACGGGCGACTCCCGAAACGACTGATGCTCGGCGAACTGGCAGGGGGGGAGAAGCGACGTAGGGGGGGACAGGAACAGAACTNCTACGAAAACCGATCCATGTTGTCTCGGAATCCCGGTACCGCAAGACACGGCACCGAAGTTAAAGTGGGCGGAAACCGCGAAGGTGGAAGGGGGAGTACCCTGGCATGCGGCGGTGCTGCAGGGAGCTGAGAGGTTCACGACCTCCTGGCACAAGAAGGAAGAAGAGGCCAACCGACAACGAGCGCTCACACGAGACCACAAGCCACCAACCAATGGGGCGGGAGGAGGGCAGGAGACGGACGAGACGGCGAGGGAAGAAAGCAATCGAGAAGCGACGGACCGAGTGGGGAGAAACCTGCCGGGTTTAATGAATTATAGCCAGTTCCCCGCCCCCAACGCCGCACCATTGCACCAACCCCCCACTAGCGATGACGTACCATTACAATGTATCGCTGGTTGGTGGCAATGTTTGTGTTTTTGCTGTTCGTTAGTGGTCTCTCCACCGTGTGCCCTTGTCTGTCTCTTTTTTCTTGTTGTTGGCCTGATCCGTTTTTGTCCTCGCTCTTTTTCGTTTTATTTTCTCTTTCCTTCCTGTTTCCTTTTATTTTTTCTCTTTTTATCTCTTTTTTCTCTCTTCGCCTGTGTCAGGTGGCCTTGTCTCTGCTTGCGTTGTGAAGTACCAAGATTGAACCAAGGGGGTGTACCTCTTTCTCTCTGGCCCGTGGTGATGACTCCGAGTCTCAGTTGTCACCTCGCATAGCGCGCAGAGGGAGCGGAGGATTCCAGACTGTCTGTCGTTGATTTGTGTTGACTTGCGGACCCCTCGGGGCCAGCTTATTTGAGTGTACGTTTTCAGGGTAAGTTAGCCTGTGACCACGGGAATCGACCGCGTCAAGTGTTGGATCAGTACGGACATATGAAGGTACTGGGTAGAGTGAGATCGGAACAGTTTTTGATGTGAAGACAACAACAACAAACCCCGTCCGTCCATGTTCCTATGTACGAATCACGGACGAACCTCTTGCCGGGAAATCCAGGATCCCCTGCACTCAGACGAACAGCTTCCACCGGCGCCAAAGGTTCCGAGGTTGGTACCACCGGCCATGCATTCACGACGATCATAATCCTTCCACGCAGATCAGACGATCAGATCAGACCTATACACAAGAAGACGGTGCCAACAGAAGAGACACGGGACCAATGTGCCTGATTAGCTTCGACCGCGCTTGCTTCCCGCAAACTGAAACGGTGAGATCACGTTCGGAGACTTGATCGCACGTGGTATGCCGCCAAAAGACAGGTGAAGGGCGAGTTTGCGAGGGATGCACACGCGGCAACCCAAACGAAGCCGTATAGTCTAGACAATTACCTTCCCGAAAAAAGGCGCGAAAAACACGTGCTCTGTGCGTCGCGCCTTTTTTTCATTTATTTCCGGGGCGGGTTGTGGTCTGCTGCTGTGCAGTCTGTAAATCGTCGTGTGGGTGCTTGTTATTCTGTTCCGCCTTGTCGTTCTGCCTTCCCCCCGTGGTCCGCAGTTCTTATTCAACTTGCGTGCCCGCGCCCACGGTACCCCGTACCGGCTAGTAGTAAAAAGGCTGCACACATTCCCTCGGATATCATTGAGTCTTGTGGACGACACTCTTGTGTGCATGCATGCTTCGTCCGCCCTTTTCCTATGTACAAGAGTCCCAAGAGTTAAAGTCGAAGGGGTCGTTTGCGGGAGGCTTTAACGGCATGTTGGGGTGGCAAAACAGTTTTTTCGGGGATCCCCTCAAGAGTTTGGGCAACCTGCTGCTCACCTGTCTGTCGAGATGTCGTGATAATGACAACAATAATACGATAGGACGCAACGGCAGCGAGAGGAGGCATGGAAATTCGGGGCTCTAATGTTGCTCCAAGGGTGGTTGTCGTGGTCGCACAGCCGTATTGAGAAACCCCGCGGCGTGGGAACTCTGTAGAGAGCCACTCGCAGCAACATGTATCGGGTGGTCTCGGCGTCGGCAGTCATCCCACCTCGTGGGGTCCACATTTATTGACATATTTGGTTACGTCCATGGAAGGATGTGATCGTAATTGTGCTTGCATGAAAGTAGTATTGTGATTCCGTGGACGCACACCTCGCTTTCATTCAACGCTTCTATGAAAGCAGCTGGCGCTTCCATGGAAATGGCAGCACTACCACGCGGAAGCAGGTGATTCAAATGGTGAGAGATGATTCCACAAGGCTTCCATGGCAGCTCATTAGTCCTCCATGGAAGCGATCGAACTTTCACGGTTGTCTCGGCATCTGACTTCCACGGAAAGTCACCAATGTAGCTTTCATGGAAGCGAACGTTATCGTGGAGTGTGCGACGACTTCCATGAAAGCGCACTACGCGCACGGTGGTACTCCAATGGCAGCGCGCCGTTGTAGACTAGACTACTGCGACTTCCACGACTTGCATCGAGAAAAATTACCCAACACTTTTTGACACATCAACGACTTCCACGGAAGGAAGTGCACGACGAACTTCAAGGTATGTTCTTTTCTCATAACTTCCACCAACCCTAACCCTCACCCTAACCCCAACGCCGACCACCCCCCTGATGGGGCTTACTAAGTCACCACGTGCTCGGGCCTTTCAGAGAATGTAGGTCCTTCTTCGAGTTTCTCCGCATCTTACAAAGAGCATGGCAGCCCCCCCCCCCCCCCCCCCCCCCCCCCCCCCCCCCCCCCCCCCCCCCCCCCCCCCCCCCCCCCCCCC